ATACTTTTTTCGAGGATAAAGGCGGTTTAAGACTTCTGTTTTCTTCCTCCCATTAGTTATTATAATACTTCAGCGCAGGCTCCGGGTAAGAAAACTAACATAACCCACTAATACAGTTTAAAACACTTTGATGTCTTGCCAAGAAACACACTTCCTTCAAGAGAGAAGTCAACATTTGTTTTTCACATTAAGTGGCGTTTAGTTGCCAGTGGAAAAAAATAATTCTAAGGACCACTTTTTAATTCGATGGATAGCAACCGCAGGGGTCTAAAAGAAAATAACGACGATAGCTATAGACACAAATAACTAAATTACCAAAACGTTAGTATATCTCCCGGCTTCATTAATATGTAACAGACTCCCCAGTTAATCTCCAAAAGCTAGTGTTCCCCCTGTAAAATAGCACTCTGGGACGAATTGTACATGAGATCAATCACTGCTAATGCAGGAAGGTTTACTGCAGGAAAGAAAAAAAAAAGCTATTTACACCTTCAAATAGAAGCTTTTCAGATTTAGGAGTAAGAGCCATACATCAACAAGAATAAATGATTATGAATTGGTAAACGCGCCCTCCAGCGATTAGCTATGCGACGCTATTTATCATTTCTTGGGTGGTGATGGTGGTAGAGGTTTTTTTTCTTCCTCTTCTTTGCCTTCTTTTAAAATCATCTGACTGTTTGGAAAGAAAAGCTTGACAAGCAGAGAAGAAGGAAGCAAAGACACCGCGGGAAAGTTTGTTTTTGCATATACTATAAGTCATTAAAACATGGCCGTGCAGATATAAACGGGGTCATGTACTGAGAGCTTAATAAGAAACAATGCAGCCCTTTCATTGTTTCATTTGTTATTAGGGGATTGCTTGCCCATTGGAGTTGACACATCAGCAGGTATCTTTTTTTCCTCTCTCCTCTCTCTTTACCGAACCCCCTCCCCCATCACTTTGCCCCTTTCTTGTAGTCAACAAATACATGTCGTTTACTATCCGTGAAACTCATTTTTAAATCTATTATTAGTCCTTCTTTTTCTTTTTCCTCTTCATTTTTAAGGAAAGAAGGAACTTGTCTTTGTGTGTGCGCAGGGAGCAGCGCGTTTGCGCTGGCGCCGCTGTGCGCGTGGCAGCGTGCCTGCGCAAGATCGCGGCCAGGAGGCGGCCGGGCCACAGTTGTCCCGGGAAACCGCGCTCCCGCCAAGGCACCGGGTCAGGGACTCCTGGGGACCCCGCTTGCTGTTTGCAACACAAAAGCATATGCAGCCCCTAAACATTCCACGAGAAACAAAGGCTGCAGCGGAGGACTGACTTAACCCTGGTTAAAACTAACTCACAGCCAACTCCCTCGCCCATTTGAGCTCTGAGAGGTAATGCGGGAGCTTTGAGACCCGACTAGGGCGAGTGGCTCTCAGATTTAGGCCCAGGCCTGCGCTAGACTAGGAATCAGGGAGCAATTCCTGGCGGTAAAGTGAGAATAGGCTCTAATGCAAGATAGAAGGGCGACTCGCGCCTTTGAAAGGCGATGAAGGGATCAGGGATCGTATCCCGGAAAGCTGACCTTCCCTCCCCAACTGCCTGTCTGCCCGCCTACAATGCCGACTTGCCTGAGCCTTGATAGGAGAGGGGGCTAGCTTCCCTTCAGCCTGATAGGAGCATAAACAGCGTGGCCAGTTCTGTTGCCAAATCTGTAGCAGGAAGTGGGGTAGAGCAGGTGTTCAACACAGGGACTTCAGAAATCCCGGAACTTACCTGCGCACTGCTCATGAGAAAGAGTTGGTCACCTGAATACAACAATGGCCCACCTTTGGTAGCTGAATGGGACTCTATGGGCACGTTTCAAAGACGCCAGTGCCTCTGCATCCACACTCACATTTGAGGGTGTTCCCCGTTGGAACTTAGGAGAAGAGTGGAGTTTCGGGGGCCAGTTATTGTGGGCTGCTAGAACACCCAACTGAACGAGAAGACTCCAGCTCAACTATTACACACTCCCGATGCCACACAGTTCGGATATGAGTTGAGTGTAGGGCCTGTTTTCTTAGGTTCAAGAGCTTTACTACAGCTGGGAGGGGGTTTGTGTCTGTAAGTCTGTCACTTCAGGTAACGTTTCCTAGGAGATATTTCAGGGAAAGCTACAGCAGACCTTGCAAATTGTCTCAAGATTGTGGAATAAACTCAGGTGGTTCCCCCATAGGCAGGACAAGGGCCTATTTTAGGCTTTCATTACAATGATGTTTAAAGCTAAAATGATGTTTTAGCTTTAAAATGATGTTTTAGCTTTAAAATGATGTTTTAGCTTTTGATGTTTAAAGCTAAAATGTTTAAGGAAAGTGTTGTACCTATAAATACAGAAGGGAGGGAGATTCTCCCCTTCCAAAAGGAAAGTTTATAAAAATAATGTGAATCAATAATATCTAATCATGCACCCCTAGTTCTAGAACATATTATGGAGCCACTACAATATAAATTATTGTATAATATCTGTACAGAGGGAGCAGATATGAAATGTCCCTAGTTTATTTTATGCTTTATTATGTAAACTTTTCTTCCCTCAGGGAATTTCCCCCCCTCCCCCATTTTGAAAACTCCTGACAGGCTGATGTGCTTGAAGGATTTGTTCAGACAGTACTGACCATCAGAGAATAGATTTTTCTTTTACTTTTCAAAGCTGGCACAGTCCTGTGCTTTAGAAAAGAGACATGGAGAGAAAGAATGGGCTCAAAAATTTGAAAAAGAAACATACATTCCTCTTATATTTCTCTCCCAAGAAGCCTTGAATACTTTGCTCCTAACATTGACTCCATGAAAGAAAAAAAATTATTGATAGCAAACCCTGAGAAATAAGCAAACTGTCATCAGAAAGATTTAATTTTGCAATTCCAGCAAAGAATATTACTCATTTACTTTCAATTCTTCAAGATTTTATCCTTAAATTTAAATTTTAATGCCATTATTTTCTCCTGTACAATCCGTTGTTAAAATAAAGGATTCCCTTTATGATATGTTTTCAATAGTGAAAGTCTCTAAAGATCTACAATATTATTATTTATCTGAATTTTGTAGCTCTGAGGGCTGTATACACGATGTAATTGCTTTAACATGTTTTCATAAATTACATTCAGAAATGTGTCATAGTAAATTACCTTTGTAATAAAATGTAAAAAATGCAAATGGCTGTTGTCTTTATTACGTTTTAAACCATTGGTTTATCTGCACTATTTCACTTGTCACTTGCACAATATGTTGGCTAAAGGGGCGGCACAGTTTGATAACAGGGAGCTGGGTCCTGTGTGTAATCTTGCAGGCACGTACAGTTTGGGTCATTTCCTCACCTCCCGCAGAAAAGACATTATCCCACTCATATTTACATACTTTTCAATATTTGTCAAACAATCATAAATTATAAATTAATGAAATGTTCGACAGTCTTCAGAGATCAGACTAATGAAGACATTTACCTTTTTGGTGATTTTGAGTCTCATCTTTATAAGTTTAATGACATTTTGACGCTCACGCTTTATTAGGCTTTATTAGATTTGTCCTTCGCTCCCGCTGTCATTCAGATGTCTCTGCAGAAACATCACCTGCTTCAGGTACAAGAACAAGTCTATTTTGACCAGGAAACCTTCAAAACGGGGACTCTGCAACCTTAGTTTTAAAGAATTAATATCGAGTTGGGTTTTTAAAAACTACTGGAAATTTTTACCCTTCTAAAATGTTTTAATAAGACTGCTGTTGTATTTATATCACCAGCAGGCAATAATATGGATACACCGGCATACACACAGGCTGAGATACACTGTAATTTCAAAGTGATTTACCACAGTGCTATTAAAAATGGAGAGCAGCCCTGATTCTGATTTTTAGGATTTTATGAAATTTCCTTTGTATTAGGTTGGGATACAAAGTTTGCCAAACCATCTCTTGAGTCCAAAGGTAGGGGGCTAATTTAGAACTTGGTCAAAAATCAGGAAATGGATACCAACTCACTCAGCTCTGTTTCCAGAGAGGAGGAAGGGAGGAAGGAAGGAAGGAAGGAAGGAAGGAAGGAAGGAAGGAAGGAAGGAAGGGAGGGAGGGAGGGAGGGAGGAAGGAACCATCGCTGGGTGCTGCAGTGGTCTTGGATCCTCAGAGGAAACCAGTTATGTGCCTGCTTAGCACAGAACTGGAAAGGGATGATAAGTTTTCCTGGAAAATGTTGGCTCCCCATGCTCCCATTATGATTGATGGCCACTGGGCTTTTAAATAAAATTATAGGTGATGAATTTAGTTCTATCCAGAGAGGTCAAATGATCAACCTTGACTTAAGATTCAAATAGTAAATCACATGGAACAAATGCACATCATCCCCACCCATTTGCAGCCAGGGTAGAAATGAGCTGGGGCTTTGGTGCCATCTGACTCTAAACAAAGGGCAAGGGGCCCAGGAAGTAGGAATGTCAATGTCTCTGTCATCAGGTTGAGTAATTTTATTAGCCCTCTTGCAAATCTTATCAACCCATGTTAGTACACACCACCCTGCGGGCCACCAGACGCCTTGCTTTCTTGCTTTTCTAAGCCTTACCCATTTGGGACATTGTGGTGTTGGTGGAAGTGGGAAAGTAGTGCTGGAAGGATGGAGCAATTCTTAATTACCCTTCTTAATTATCTTTAAGTGGAAGGAGATCTGTGTGTATGTGTGTGTGGTGTGTGTATATGTGTGTGTGTGTGAGAGAGAGGTGTATGGCCAGAGAGACAATTTTAGAGGTAGCTGCCCCCCTACAAACCTTTATCCTGGTTTATTGCATGCTGTTCTGACAATCTGGCTTAGAGCACAGGCTCGAGGCATTCGCCAGGTGGAAGGCAAGAGGGTGATTCCCATTTCATACCCGAACATTGATTTAGATTTAGCCTTTGCCCCTTTATAAAAAAATACACCAGGAATAAAACAGTCACCCATTAAAGTCTACATCCATAACCTATAAAAATATTGGGAGCGACTTCAAAATATTTCCAAACACTACTTTTTAAAATACACAATGGAGAGTTATTAAGAGGCTTCTTGGTGAAGCGAGCATGGCTTCTGCAATCATCAAAAATTGATATGTACCGCTAGTAAAGTAATTATGCGCCATCCTGAGGATAAGGGAGCCAGCAATTGTTAATCCACTTGCACACCCGTTGACTTGCAACATCAAGCTGCAAATAGCTTAATTAAGTCATACACGTGGACTATAACCATATTGCTCCATTGCATTATGCACAGTATATCTCAATTTATTGGGACAATTAATGCTAGAACCTCACCTCGAGCAGGAATGTCAGCCACCCAATGCCCGAGTCCCTTTGGATTGATACTGCCCAAGTCAGAAAGCCACGAATAAGTGAGAATTAAGAGAGATGGCAGCTGGGGAACTGGAGTGGGATTTCTCCTGCGCAAACTTTTGGGGCCCAATGGTGTTGTCCGAATAGGATGCCAAAAGCTGAGGTGAAGCAAGTGCTTTGGACAGACCACAATTCATCATGTCCGTGATGGTCGTGTATTTAAGTGGGCAGAGTCCTCAATAGTTTCATTAAAATTGTAAATCACATAGCAAAGCCTATTCATTAATCACAAGAAATCTTTAGCTCAGTAAGTCCCCGGTCTGTTAGGGCGGATATTTAAATCAGCTCCACCCGACTCCCACACACATCTGTCCGCCACAGGCAGTTTATTTTTCTGAGTTTAAACTACTGAAACCTTTGGGTAAAACCCAATCGAATTTCTCTGTTTACTAACGACCAAGACGCAAACTTCTGTCCTAGAATCCCTCTCCATCCGGTCTCCATTCTTCATGGTGTAAACATTCCAGGTGACACACGCTTGGGAATGCTGTCACCCTCCGCGGCCGGCAGCGGCGGTGTGGTGGGTGGTAGAGGGACCGCCTTCCCCCTAAGCTAGCAGCCCTTGTCCCTAGCTTCCCTGGCAAGCGCAGAGTCCAAGGGCCCGGGGTGGAAGTGGACTTTTGGTACTTCCTTCCCTTGAGGATGCGAAGGTACCTGCTTCACTTCTAACTTGGGTGCCAGGTAAGGCTCCGTTTTGAGTCTGAGGCGCGAAATGCCCTGAGAGTCGTTATTGCCGTCAAGGTAAGCAAAACGTTGACAGGAAGTCTAGTTCTCACTGACCCAGGAATCGACCATCCTTCACTTCGAACATCACAAATAAATGGGGAACTTCAAGCGGCAAGTATTTCTCCTATACGTGCCACTAAGCGCTGGTTGAAGTGCACCGGCCCTTCTTCGTCTTGTGAGTTTTAGCTCATTTGTTCTACAATACAGAGGCATTAATTTTGGCAGTGTATTTCAGAGGTGTGTCTCGAGTTCCCAGCTGCTGCTGTGCGTCCTCTTCCCAGGGCCTGAGAGCAACCGGGGTGTGAGGGGAGCGGGACTCCCACTCAAGCACTAACCCCTTCGCCCACCTCCCGCCGCCCCCTTAGACCCAGGCGTACCCCGGGGAGAAGAGGTTTCCTCCCAGCATCCTCTGTAAAAAATTCTAGAGCGGGAACACTTGAGGTGTGAACTAGGAATGCAATGCGCTGGGTGCGCTGGCTGCGTCCTCTTAGCAGCCTGAGCGTCTTCCTCCGGTTCTCCGCTCCGGGCTGTTTTTAGTTTCTTCCCCAAAAGTAGAAAAGTGAGTGCCTCGTCTTTTCCAGAAGATTTTTTGCAACTCAGCTTTGAAGGCTTCTTTCAGCGTCTGGGCATTTTTGAGAACCAGGATTTGGGATATCCTCAGGTTTTCCAGAAGTACCTAAGGCTCTGCAGCCTGGTGCAGGGAAAGGAGGGAGGCATCCAGAACCCCACTGGGGCGGAGGTGGGACGGTCCGGGAGGCCCTTTGGGCTGCGGGATTTGATCTGGGAATAGTAGCTTCAGGGTCCCAGAGCTCAAGTCTGGATCCCAGTTTGGGATCTCCAGGACTATAGAAGGAGGGCATGGGCAAGGTTAGGACGCTGTGTTTCGTGGCACCACCGCTGCAAAGACTACGATTAGTATTTATAATCAAAACAACAACAGCCACAACACCCACAACACATCAGTTTTTGTTGTGCACTTTCTAGAGGCACTTTGCACTCACAGTACTATTAAAAAAAAAACCACACAACATTGAAACAGATTGTGTTTTGTACCCATTTTACAGATGAGAAAACAGAGGGTTGAGACAGTGGTTAAAGAACTTTGCCCTGCGTCACTCCACCTGGAAGTGGCAGAGCTGTCACTTGAAGCAGCCCACAGCCAAAGGGTCAATTGTTTTTTCTTGGACTGCCGGCCTTTAGTGGGAAGGCTGGGGCTCAGAAAATCCAGTCCAGTGATTGCCTCACCTTTCTCCAGGTAGATTCTTGAAAGTCAATACATCCCCAGTGCTAAACTTCTTTTTGTTGGGTGTTTCTACCCACCTTTTCTGGATGTTTCTGCCCACCTTCCTCCACCATGCTCCAAAACCTCTGCAATTGGGCGTTAGGGTGTTCTTCTGGGCTGGGGTGTGATAAGGAGGGGGAAGGAATAGACAAATCCTGAAAACCTGCTTCTTGCCACACTCAGTTTCTCAGCCTGGAGAGCTGCCCTCATACTAGGATGGAGTCAATCTGGAAGCCTTCTTAGAGGTGACAGCCAAACTCCAAGACCCAAGTAAATTCTGTCAGGGGTGGCACTGAGGGGTGTTATCATGGGTGGCTTCAGACACTCCATCCCATATCGACAGGAAAGGGCTCAGGTGCTAAGTCCAGTCTTTCTTTTGACCTTCAAAGTAAATTTCCAATTCTCCCACCTGACCTCATCTTCTCCCCACATTTTTCTGTTTGGCCGGCATTTGACCAAGAGCAGGCTCAAATAGGATGCTTATCAATTTCATAATCCCTATTCCAAAGTTGGAGGAGCCACTGTGGACACCACAGATGGTGTGTCATCCCTAAGAAAATTAAGGGGGAAGATGCTGATAAATTTATCAGGAATACAATGTTCTGCGGTTAAGAGTACAAGGTGTGTGTGTGTGTGGGGGGCCCATGACTGTACAGACTGAGAGGTGAACCAAGCTCTTGTGATTCTACGTGTCAGTGGTGGGGAGTGGGGTAGGAAGAGTGGGAATGAACGTATTTGTTCTTATATTTAAAAACCTCAGGTGCTGGGAGCCGTCAAAGGCTGGGAGATTTGAACCTGGAACCGGGGATAGTGGCTTGCAATAAGACCGCCTACCGCCTCCAGAATTAGCTTCGCTCCAGGCTTTGCGCGCTGTAAAGTTTAAGTCTATTATCAAGGGGGAAATTGAAAGTGACTTCTGTAAATCCCAAGATGGGGTTTCACCAGCACCTTCTGGGTGGAGGACCAAAAGTAAGGTGGAAAAAAGAGCGGGGAAATCAATTGAGGAAAAAAAAAAAAAGATACACTCAGGATTAAATAAACTAAGAGGCTCAGCCAGTGGAATTCTAGATCTGGGTTTTGAAACTGAGAGGATTCCTCTACCTTAGGCCATCTGGCTGTTTTAAGCTCTGCCCCATGCTGTATGATTTTAGCTGAAAATCTCTTCCGTTGCAGCTTTGCTTTTATTGAATTCATCAAAAGCAAACTTTCCCTGAGTTTTTTTTTTTTTTTTTTTAAGAAGGCTAAAATAATACGCCGACCACTGTGACATTCTCCGCGCCCAGGCCATTTTTCATAACGCCGCGGATCGGCTTTTGTGCCTCTGAGGCGACTAAACAGATGAATAAGGAGCAAAGTCTCCCGAAAGTAAGCTAGCAGCTTTTCTCAGCTCCAAAAAAGTTAACTGAAATGAGAGGTGCATGTAAAATCCCTACACCCAAAGATGGGGGCCACACTTTTATTATTCTGAAAGACAACGATGTCTTTTTAAACGCAACTAACTACCCACACCCGCGCGCACGCACACACACTCACTCACCCACATACTAGCACATTTGTTCACACAAACCACACAAACTTTTTTAAGCCTTGTGAAGCCGCCCAGGTGCTGTTTAGGGAATTTTGGTAAAGAAAGAAGAAAGAAGTATTTGAGATAGATTCTAGGTGGCAAGATATGAGAAAAGTAAAAACTGGTTTTATTTTATTTTTGTTTTAGTGGGTTTTTTTTGTTTTTTGTTTTTTTAACCGCAGCTAGTTTGAAAGTTGGTTTCTGGCAAGAGGAAAGAAAAGGCTGCGGCACTAAAAGAAGAATCAAAGTGTTAAAAGGACGCTCAAAATGTAGTATTGTGGCAGGTCGGGGTAAGTTACATTTTCTTCTGTTTTCTCTTTGGTTTTGGAACAGTGAAAATGCACTCTGGGGAGAGTTTTCCTGTTGTTTTTAAGAGAAAGTAACTCCAAGCTCCCTCCTAGGACGACTGCCTCCTGCGACTTTGCTCTGGTTTTGTGGGTGTTTTACAGGGAGGCACTTTCTCCTTGAGCCCTGTCATCATAGTTCCAGAGGCCCGCAAACCCTGAGTGGCCGAGGTTTGGAGAGCCGCGCTTGGGCGGCGGAGGCAACAAGTCGTGGACGGTCTAGCCCCAGGCGAGCACGGTGCCGCGCCGCGCTGCAGCTGAGCCGGTGGCTCGCTGGACTCTCAGGAATGAATTTTGCACGTGTAAACTACTTTCCTGTGGACGCGCACAGCTGCGACTCTGGAGTTTATCAGAGGAAAAAACTCTTCCCTGAAATGCACGATTTGGAAAAACTCAGCCATTGGTTCTTGCCAGATGATTATCGATGCAAAGTAGACCCTACGGGTTGGAGCGTGAGCGAGTTTGTTTAACCCTAAAAATATTCCACTTCCGAGTTGCTCATGTTGACATCTACTCGAAATCATTTATATATTTTTTTTCGGGGGCTGGGAAATTAACTGGGCGTAATCTGTGGGAGATGGTGTGGTACGGGAGGCATATTTTACCAGAAAGCGATGCCCTGTGTTCCCTGAATCTAGGAAAGTGTCCTGAAGAAACTCAGCTCCCAGTGCACGCGCGCACACACATCTTCACAGCCATGTGTTATAAATACGTAGTTGTAGGCACGTTCCTGCCATTAACCCGCGGCTTTGGAATTTGGTTCTTGGTTTGGATAATGTTGTTGGCCTGCATGGCAGGGATATTCAGATGCCAGTGCCCAGTGGTCTTATATTCAAGTATTTAAACGGCAACATGCGAGCAACTGCTGCAAGCCAGATTTTATTATTATTATCTTTCTCTTACCCAGAACCGTGGAATAAACACGTGCTGCCCCAGAGCTTGGGCAGAGCTTATCCAGATGTTGGCAAACACGTCTTTGACAGTTATATTTCTGAGGAAGCCCGGAGAAATTGACAAGGCAGCTGTTCTAGGAGATTTTGTTCAGTAGCTGGAGCGACTTCTGCGCCTGGGTCTGGCGGGGGCGAGCACATAAAATGCAACTTTTGCCCCATTGGTTCGCTAGGTGAATTAGCACATACTGGGACTGAACAGTCCTTGACCTTTGCCTTTATGTTTGCGCAAATGTTTGCCTAAAACACAATCGGCCTTGACAAGGGAGCATGCTACCGTGTGACACTGCCTATTCACCAGATAGATGTTCTCTGCCACACACGACCCAGAGCAGCCTTTTAAATAGCTTAGGTATTTGCACAAACCGTATAAATTAATGTCGGATGATTGCTAGTTGCTGGTTAAATAGGAGATCATTCAGATGTGAGATACACATATCTCTCTAGTGTTTTTTTTTTCCTTTTTTTCTCTCAAAAATGTCGATAAGATAACCAGAAACAAAACTGATAGTGAAGGAAATTTTGAGTTTGTGGGAGTCAACAGGTTCTTGTTTGATCAAATGGGCATATGAATGTAATTCCCTTACAAATGGCTTTTTCACAAAGACGGAATGTGGATGAAGAAAAAGGAGAGAGGGAGAGTGAGGAAAACTGATAGGGACTAACGCTTAGGATGATTGGTTATGTGAAGGTTTGGGATTGGAACCTGAAGATCCTGGAGGATTTATTGTTCCTGGAGAAGCCATGGCCAGCCCAGAAGCTCTCAGGGCTCTGGGGACCCCCTTGGGACTTAGGAAGTTTTCTCCTATCCCTGAGCTTTATGGTTCTGAACACTTCCTCCAATAAAATTAAATACTTTAGCAGGAGGAGAAAAACACCTTGTAAAAATCTAAAATTGGTCTAAGCCCTCTTTTTAAACCTCACACTACACATCTGAATGATTTAGAGGACTAGTTTGCCTTTTCCTGGACTTCGACATAGGGAAAAATGAACTTTTCTTTTGCTATGGTTTTCAAGCTAGGTTCAGAATTTTCCACATGCCTTTCATTACCGGCAACATGGCCAAACCTCCCCAATTTCCAGGGCTCAATTTTCTTAGTAAATAGGACTGCTGAGATAGGGAGAGCAAATTAAGAGAAACAGGGGTATTTTCCATATTCTTTCAGGAAGTGGTCATTTCTTTGGAAAAGAGGAGTGTTTACCTCTTTCAGTCCAAAGGTATGCAGTTGACCAGCATAGCACCAACTCCTGCCATAGCCTAGGAATACAGATTTGGAGAGTGGCTATGGTTTCTCCAAACATGTGCAAGGTCTTTTTCAGGTTTCCTTTAACTGTCTTCAGGTGGAGGAGAAGGTGGGTCAGGAATTTTCCCTCAGAAGACCTTTTTCTTGATTTGTGGACAGAATTTACCTTTTCTCTTTTGGATGGGGAGAAGTTTTTTTTAACAAGACCTATGTTCCACTTAGTATTTAGGTGCAGCACAAACGTAGCAGAAAGATAAAAACAACCACCTCAGAATGCAAAAGAAGAGATTACATTTAAGAACAATTTCCTAGCAGAGAATTGTAATATGGGAAGGCTTGCAAGAAGAGTAAATATAAGTAATACAGAATAAAATTAAGGAGACTACTTTCAATTTTCAATAATCCCCCCTTAAGAATTTCTTAACTAATAGATTAGATTTGTAAGTTTATCCTTATTAATTAATTAACAATATGGCAGATATGAACCACTCCAAAGCAGTTCTTTAAGGCTGATGGAACACATGAATGGTAGCCTGTGTATTTTGGCTTTATGTTTATAAATGTGGGCAACTAAATATGCATAGAAATAACATTTGAATTCTCAGAAAGTATTTGTTCATTTTATCGGTATATAATTATCTTAACTATTTCTTCAAATTTGTTTTATTTTAAAGTAAAATGATTCCAGGTATTCTATTCCTGTCCCCCTCTCCCTTCCCTTCCCTGCTTCCCCCCATTGCCCAATCTTTTAGAGAATTTAGGAATTAAAGGAATAGAAATGCACATTTTAGGGCTCTATTCTCTGAGATCTTCTACACTGATTTGGAGAATGCAAGGCAGCAGTATGTTTCTAATCTCTGCTTCCCTGTAGCTGTGCTTGTGGTGGATGAAATTCGTTCAGAGTTATGGGAGAATTGGGACCTAGAATCCACAATCTATGATGATGAACATAAGGGACTTAGGTTTAGTTTAATGGTTATAAAAATCAGCTTAGGGGCTCAAAAATCTCCAAATTTGCTTAGTTTGAAATAGATATTTTTAAGAAATCGTGTTAGAAAATATCTACATATTATATAAAACATATCTCACATGAATCCTGGCCATCAGCAATTCAAGTCCACTTGTTCATTTAGTTATTCAATTGTAGTGACTAAAATTGAAGATAAAAGATGGTCAGTTCCATCTTTTGCTGACACACATCCAAAATTTGAGCTAAAATACCATTAAGCATTTATAATGTGAAATCTCTAGGTGATTTTATCTAGAAGTGTTCAAGAGGATACATAGCAATTTATTAATATGAATGAAAACATAGCACACTTGCTAAAACTGTTCCCATTAAAATGAATAACACACCTTTAATGAAAAGAAAGGAGGACACATTTTTTAAATCATTTCTAGAAACAATTGAGCATTTATAGTCATGTTATTTTTCTTAGAGTTAAAAAGGTATAAAGTATAAGTATATATTTACATGTGAAAAATTAATGCAACTGATTTATTCTTATAAGGGTTGAGTATTTGCTGCTTCTCTGCTGAAAATTCATTTTCATATAAAATCAATGTTCCTTAAAGATAAAATCATTGCGCTTACAGAACACCAAAACTGTAAAATCTGTTAGATGATGCTGTAGTATACATTAATATCTATATTAATAATTTTCTTACTGACTGATTATAAAATGGCACCTAACATGATCTGTGAAATTTATAAATTTTACTATGTAGTGAAATTAAAGTGAAGAACTAAAGTCAGGTTTTAGGACTTGAAGGTACTGTAGAGAGTACCCCAGACCTTGTTCCCATTTCATTTCCTCAAAGGTAGTTGTTTTCCCCTAACTTATATAGAACTGGGTTTTTTGCTCTAATAATCCTCAACAGTTATTTGCTATTAATTCCACTCTACACAGAAAATTTAAAAATGGTTTAGAGGCATGAGAATTTAACTATCAATTACTGCATCTGAGTTGGAATAGTCCAAATATGCCACTTCCAGGTGCTGCGTTTGTGCACGAGTAGCCAGGCCATGCTACTCATGTGCACAAAGAGTCCGCGTTCCTGGTGAGTGACAAGTTTAAGCTTTCTTAGCACAGAAAAATAGAGTTCTTCTCACCTCTGTTTTGATTCACAATCTCTGACCAAATAAATTGTGCTCTGATTTCCAATGCTTAATTGCGTCCACCACCCAGCCCTAATTAGCTACTCCAGACAAAATTAATTCGGAGGCTGGGGCAATACTGTCCAGAAATTAGATTCCAAAGGGCATTTAGAAGGGGCCCCTGCCAAGTTTTGGCTAGGAAGTCAGATTTACTATCTCGATGAGTAGAAATCCTTCCTATGCCAGCCATCTCAGACTTTGAGATGTCTGTGCTCCTGTTTTAGTCCTCTTTTGTGTTAAAAACTGTGAATTCTGAATTGAAGAAGGGGGAGTGAGTGGTGCAGGGAAAGTTCTCACACCTCCTTCTCACCTGACATTTCAGGAGCCCATTAATTTGCCAACTGGGCATAGCCGGGTGCCTGTACTAATCAGCCACTCTGGGAAGTCAATGCCCACGGGAAGCGAAAGCTGGGCAGGTACTGCTAGCTCAAGGGTTAGGAGGGCTGGGATTCATTCTCTGATTAGGTGAAAGCTGGCTGGCTGGTGCTGGAGCAAGCCGCCTTAAGCAGGGTTTTTGTGGCTCCTGACTCTTTGCTTACACTTAGCAGTTCCCTATTTCATCTGCCCTTCCCACCTTTCTGCAGAGGCTTGGAA